AGTACTGAGTAAAGGGTCTGAATACTTATGTAAATATGATATTTCCGTTTTTTTTTTTTATACATTTGCAAAAATGTCTAAAAACCTGTTTTTGCTTTGTCATTATGGGGTATTGTGTATAGATTAATGAGTTAAAACAATTTGGAAAAAGTAAAGGGGTCTGAATACTTTCCGAATGCACTGTATATTTGTCTTTAGGCAGAGAATCTTTACAAGGGTCACTGCACTTTGGAATTCCTGCCATAACACATCAGCAAAGAGTGAGACAGTGCTCCTTACTACGAGTGGACACACAGCAGAGCCGAACGGACAGTTTGTCCAGAGCCTAATCTCTCCATTATATTGGTCAGTACTTACCACGATGCAGGGATCTAACCAGGGTAAACACTGATTAAGACCGTTGCACAGAGGCTAATTGCCATTGTCTCAGACTCTGATTCAGCCACTGTACCGTATCCTAAACAATAGGCTGCTATATAATTGCTATACACAATGCAATATACATTAAATACTGTATCATTGCTTCTACATTTCATGAGTTAATTAGAATGTAATACGTGTAGTGTTTGGTGGTTTCATTCCTGAGGTTTCACTGTATATCATTTTTTCATTTAATCTTTTAGAAAATACGATTTGTGAGCGTAACAGACAGAATGGTCCTAAAATAGTCTCAGACAACACACACACACACACACACACACACACACACACACACACACACACACACACACACACACACACACACACACACACACACACACACACACACACACACACACACACACACACAGTCATCACAGCACTAACAGGACTGCCATTTTCCTCCATTTTTCTCACCCCCTTCTCCCCCGTAGCAGAAACATAGTCAGCTGCAAGTCACATGACCAGCTGCTAGCTCCAACTGAGCATGCTCAGGCCCCTAAGTGTTGTCAGGCAAAAAATAAGACGGCAGTATGAGCAGAGATCTGCAATAGATAAACACAGACATAGAGCAGCCACCGGGAAGCAGAGAGGCTGATACCGACAGGGAGAGAAAGGGAGGCAGCAATTTTGGCATTTACAATTCTCACTGCTGTTTTTAAATCATTTTATTTTCATTTTTCATTCAGGGGGGACATAGCAGGGATATAAAAGCAGGTGTTCCCTTTAAGAGGGAAAGGATCAGGACCAAGGACAGCATCCTCCATCTCCAGCTCCTGTATAGGTAAGTGTGTCGGCCGGAGGAGAGGGGGAGTGGGGGAGGGGTAAAGCTGCATGTGTCTGCTTGTGTTTAATTCTCATTGAGGGGATGAGGGGAGGGGGTCAGTTTGCATCTCTATCGGTATGTGAGACGACAGAGCGAGGCGAGGGGGGGGGTCGGGGACATGGCAATGCCAGTGGGAGGGGGGGGGGGGGGGGGTTACGCTCACAAATCGTATTTTCTAAAAGATTAATTGAAAAAATGATATATAGTGAAACCTCAGGAATGTATTACATTCTAATTAACTCATGAAATGTAGAAGCAATGATACAGTATTTAATGTATATTGCATTACTGAACATCCATGAAATATGGAAACCCTTTAATACCAAATTTACGCATGATAAATACACTATAGTTGAAATGTTATGTGGTCTCGCTAGTGGTGGCTTCTGGTGAAACAAAATGGCTCAGTTTTGGGGAGAGATGAGCTTGCTGAACTGAGTAAGCACAGAAGAAGAAGAAGGGAGAGAGAGAGAGAGAGACGGAGAGGAAAAGAGAGACAGGTGTTTCTTCATTTTTATTGACTCATAAGTATCTGGCAGAGGAGGCATCGTTGGATTTGTTGTTGACTCTAACAGGCACAGGCTGTGTATGTGTTGTGAGTGTGTGTGTTTATTAGTGTGTTCTGTGCCAACAACCTGTATTCAACTATGAGCATCGTACTGGAGGACAGGAGTCCATTACCATTATGCAGTTTAACTGACGTAATCTTATTTTTGTGTTGGATGTGTCACTCTAGTTCTTTTGTCATCTATGTTGTGATTTTGTCCAATGTAGAAAAGGTATTGCCCTCAGTGCATGTTGTGTTTAGCTTAGGGGACACACTGTCTGATGTGTTTACATCTGAATGTAAAGATATGGCAGCTGAAATATGTGGAGGGAAGTACAGTATAATCTGGAATGCTATTATGTTTTTATTGGGAGTTTATAAAAGTGCACACCTGGTACCATCAAGCACAGTGATCTCATCCTCTGAGGTCATTGTGAGGTCTGAGAGCCTAATGACTGATGATGATTGCTTTGTTGAAATATCACAATTTTAGGATGCTGAGAAAATGTCAAAAATGCCCTGAGAGAAATATATCCATCCCTGGCTTTAACTCCTAATTCAGCCAGGTAAATCTTTTGCACAATTTCAATGATTATTCCTAACAAAGACTATTCCTAAACTTGACAGTGCAGGTAAAACAATGAAGTGATTTTATCAAATGGGCTACCCTTTCCTTACCTTTTGTATACAGATTGAAAAGGTCAGATGAAGATTCTGTTGAAGATTCAGATTACCAAAACATAAAATTGTGCTCAAAGCACAACACATAAAGCCTCTCTCTCCCACACACTCTCCGTCTCCACGGTGATTAATGGGACGGTGATAGACGGCAGAAGTGGCTGTTGCTAGGATACATGGCAAGTTGGAGTGCAGATGATTAAAGGGGAAAAGGTGGCCACCATTATGAAGTGGCAATGCGGAAGATGTCGTTGCATCATTATTTTGTAAACTGTGTTTATTACAGGTATATGCTTTGTGAAATGCTGAAATAAGAGACAAACTGTCAACTTATTGTTATTGTTCCTCCTGTCTCTCATGCCAAATGATTAGGTACCACAGTTTGAGAGGAAGTCCGAGTGACCAGGCCAGACTTCAACCTCAGTCCCTCCACCTACATGGAGCTCAGCTGTTATGGATGGGAGAAGCCTAACCCTGTCTGAGAAACCCCTATGAACAACAGACCCAATGGTGAGACAACCTTTATAACACCATATCCAATGGTAGTATCATAGTCGTAATACTGTAGTGAACTGAGTTGATAGAGTGTCATCTGATGTCTCTGTTTATCATCAGACTGCAGTTATCATAATAGATACAGTCAGAATGGCTCTGTCATTGATGTATGTAGATATACAGTTGAAGTCGGAAGTTTACATACACATTAGCCAAATACATTTAAAATCAGTTTTTCACCATTCCTGACATTTAATCCTAGTAAAGATTCCCTGTTTTAGGTCAGTTAGGATCACCACTTTATTTTAAGAATGTGAAATGTCAGAATAATAGTAGAGAGAATTATTTATCATCACATTCCCAGTGGGTCAGAAGTTTACATACACTCAATTCATATTTGGTAGCATTGCCTTTAAATTGTTTAACTTGGGTCAAATGTTTCAGGTAGCCTTCCACAAGCTTCCCACAATAAGTTGGGTGAATTTTGGCCCATTCCTCCTGACAGAGCTGGTGTAACTGAGTCAGGTTTGTAGGCCTCCTTGCTCGCACACACTTTTTCAGTTCTGCCCACATATTTTCTATAGGATTGAGGTCAGGGCTTTGTGATGGCCACTCCAATACCTTGACTTTGTTGTCCTTAAGCCATTTTGCCACAACTTTGGAAGTATGCTTGGGGTCATTGTCCATTTGGAAGACCCATTTGCGACCAAGCTTTAACTTCCTGACTGATGTCTTGGGATGTTGCTTCAATATATCCACATAATGTTCCTTCCTCATGATGCCATCTATTTTGTGAAGTGCACCAGTCCCTCTTGCAGCAAAGCACCCCCACAGCATGATGCTGCCATCCCTGTGCTTCACGGTTGGGATGGTGTTCTTCGGCTTGCAAGCTTCCCCCTTTTTCTTCCAAACTTAACGATGGTCATTATGGCCAAACAGTTCTATTTTTGTTTCATCAGACCAGAGGACATTTCTCCAAATAGTACAATCTTTGTCCCCATGTGCGGTTGCAAACCATGGTCTGGCTTTTTTATGGCAGTTTTGGAACAGTGGCTTCTTCCTTGCTGAGCGGCCTTTCAGGTTATGTCGATATAGTACTAATTTTACTGTGGATATAGATACTTTTGTATCTGTTTCCTCCAGCATCTTCACAAGGTCCTTTGCTGTTGTTCTGGGATTGATTTGCACTTTTCACACCAAAGAACGTTCATCTCTAGGAGACAGAACGCATCTCCTTCCTGAGCGGTATGATGGCTGTGTGGTCCCATGGTGTTTATACTTGCATACTATTGTTTGTACAGATACCTTCAGTCGTTTGGAAATTGCTCCCAAGGATGAACCAGACTTGTGGAGGTCTACAATTCTTTTTCTGAGGTCTTGGCTGATTTCTTTTGATTTTCCCATGATGTCAAGCAAAGAGGCACTGAGTTTGAAGGTAGGCCTTGAAATACATCCACAGGTACACCTCCAATTGACTCAAATGATGTCAATTAACCTATCAGAAGCTTCTAAAGCCATGACATCATTTTCTGGAATTTTCCAAGCTGTTGAAAGGCACAGTCAACTTAGCGTATGTAAACTTCTGACCCACTGGAATTGTGATACAGTGAATTATAAGTGAAATAATCTGTCTGTAAACAATTGTTGGAAAAATTACTTGTGTCTTGCACAAAGTAGATGACCTAACCGACTTGCCAAAACTATAGTTTGTTAACAAGAAATTTGTGAAGTGGTTTGAAAACAAGTTTTAATGACTCCAATATAAGTGTATGCAAACTTCCGACTTCAACTGTATATTAGATATATAAGGCCTGATGCCTTGCTGTCGATAACTACTTAGCCAAACAAAAACATAATAGTGAATCATCATACATGTTTTACAAATGATGTATTGAATATCTGTGGCTTATTTCATGTCTAGTTGTCCTTTGTTTATCCAAATGGATCTCCGTCCATCCCTTTGACGTGATATAAAAAGCTTTATTTTGAAGTCTTTGAAGAACTGGCAGCTAAATGGACAGAGAGAGAGAAAGGATGGGAGATGAAACGATAATAATTGTGTCTGTATGCCTGCAGGACATCAAAGGCCAGTCCTGGACTGATGAGGAATCAGATGGGGAGAATGAGTCTGAGCAGTTCCTCTATGGGATCCAGGTACCCAGGCTGTCACCACATCCTCCCAGACCTCCTATCCCTCCCAGAGGGCAAACCGGACAAAACTAGTTGAAATGATGTCATAATGACATCATTTCAACCAGTTTTGGCCGCTAGGCTCTTTGGTCCAATGCAATCAGAACCAACACTTGGGATCTTCAGAACACCCCCTAGGGGTCTTCAGTAACTGCAATCTTATTACATAAAATCCTATGTGAAATACACAATATCTTAATCTTTCAATCAGCTTTTTACTCAAAGTTATCTCTAAAGGCTCGAGTTGAAAGTACTGTAAATCCACTTCAGTTTTAAAACCCTATTCTCCAGTGGATTAAGAACATCTACCAAGAGATGAGAGCCTGTTTGTAGGCACTAACGTGTGTGTGTGAAAGAGATAGATAGAAGACAGAATTAGAGATAGAGAGACACACAGATACACAGTCCTGTGAGACAGCAGAACAGGGGACTGGCCCTGTACCTTGTCTAATACTACAATAATTTTTATACACAAATATCAGTGCAAGCTCATATTACTGTAAATGGATGCTACAGCAGCAGTCCTATCACCATGAATAATTCAGTGGTCTGACCTGTGCCCTCCTGGCCTCCAGGGGAGCTGTGCTGCCGACCTGTACCGACACCCCCAACTGGATGCAGACATCGAGGCAGTGAAGGACATCTATACTGACAGTGCTGTCTCTGTCAGGTACTACAGTACACACACAGCATCTACAGCCAAGACTGTAAACCAACACCACTAACTGTTATTATCATTATCAGTAAATACTCCTCTACAGAGAACATCAGAGATACACTGAGATATCAAGTTTCTTAGTATGGAAAAGCTGATCAGTTTATGTGATTATTAAATCTGTATGTTTGCTATTCTTCCTCTTTCAGAGAGTATGGAACCATTGATGATGTGGACATTGACCTTCAGATTAATATCAGTTTCTTGGATGTGAGTTTTCATTTTAATTTTCTCTGGGCATTCCAGTATTACAATTCATCGTACTAGACAGTGTATGTGTATATCATATGTGTGTGTGTGTATGTGTGTGTGTGTGTGTGTGTGTGTGTGTGTGTGTGTGTGTTTGTACCAGGAGGAGGTGGCAACAGCCTGGAAGGTCATCCGAACAGAGCCCATCATTCTGAGACTGCGCTTCTCTCTCTCCCAGTACCTAGATGGACCGGGTGAGCAAAGCCCCAGTGGCTGTGGTGTGTGTGCATGTGTTCGCCTGCCTGTGTATGTGTGCCTGTGTGTGTTTAATCAGTGCTGAGCTCTTCACTCCTATGTGTTGCGTAATAATGAGTCATCTATTCTCAGAACCGTCAGTGGAGGTCTTCCAGCCCTCCAATAAAGAGGGCTTCAGCCTGGGCCTGCAGCTCAAGAAGTGAGTTCTACCCGAGTCACATGCCACTCAGCACGATTACTCACATTCTGGTTCAGAGAGGCTATCCATGGGTCCTACGCTCATTTCACAAGATTTCTACCTTTTTCAATGACACCTATACAATTTACACTATATATGCAAAAGTATGTGGACACCCCTTCAAATTAGTGAATTTGGCTATTTCAGCAACAGCCATTGCTGACAGCTGTACAGTGAGGGAAAAAAGTATTTGATCCCCTGCTGATTTTGTATGTTTGCCCACTGACAAATAAATGATCAGTCTATCATTTTAATGGTAGGTTTATTTGAACAGTGAGAGACAGAATAACAACAAAAGAAACAGAGAAACGCATGTCAAAAATGTTATAAATTGATTTGCATTTTAATGAGGGAAATAAGTATTTGACCCCCTCTCAATCAGAAAGATTTCTGGCTCCCAGGTGTCTTTTATACAGGTAACGAGCTGAGATTAGGAGCACACTCTTAAAGGGAGTGCTCCTAATCTCAGCTTGTTATGTGTATAAAAGACACCTGTCCACAGAAGCAATCAATCAATCAGATTCCAAACTCTCCACCATGGCCAAGACCAAAGAGCTCTCCAAGGATGTCAGGGACAAGATTGTAGACCTACACAAGGCTGGAATGGGCTACAAGACCATCGCCAAGCAGCTTGGTGAGAAGGTGACAACAGTTGGTGCGATTATTTGCAAATGGAAGAAACACAAAAGAACTGTCAATCTCCCTCGGCCTGCGGCTCCATGCAAGATCTCACCTCGTGGAGTTGCAATGATCATGAGAATGGTGAGGAATCAGCCCAGAACTACACGGGAGGATCTTGTCAATGATCTCAAGGCAGCTGGAACCATAGTCACCAAGAAAACAATTGGTAACACACTACGCCGTGAAGGACTGAAATCCTGCAGCGCCCGCAAGGTCCCCCTGCTCAAGAAAGCACATATACAGGCCCGTCTGAAGTTTGCCAATGAACATCTGAATGATTCAGAGGAAAACTGGGTGAAATTGTTGTGGTCAGATGAGACCAAAATCCAGCTCTTTGGCATCAACTCAACTCGCCGTATTTGGAGGAGGAGGAACGCTGCCTATGACCCCAAGAACACCATCCCCACCGTCAAACATGGAGGTGGAAACATTATGCTTTGGGGGTGTTTTTCTGCTAAGGGGACAGTACAACTTCACCGCATCAAAGGGACGATGAACGGGGCCATGTACCGTCAAATCTTGGGTGAGAACCTCCTTCCCTCAGCCAGGGCATTGAAAATAGGTCGTGGATAACCCAAAACACACGGCCAAGGCAACAAAGGAGTGGCTCAAGAAGAAGCACATTAAGGTCCTGGAGTGGCCTAGCCAGTCTCCAGACCTTAATCCCATAGAAAATCTGTGGAGGGAGCTGAAGGTTCGAGTTGCCAAACGTCAGCCTCGAAACCTTAATGACTTGGAGAGAATCTGCAAAGAGGAGTGGAACAAAATCCCTCCTGAGATGTGTGCAAACCTGGTGGCCAACTACAACACACATCTGACCTCTGTGATTGCCAACAAGGGTTTTGCCACCAAGTACTAAGTCATGTTTTGCAGAGGGGTCAAATACTTATTTCCCTCATTAAAATGCAAATCAATTCATAACATTTTTGACATGCGTTTTTCTGGATTTTTTTGTTGTTATTCTGTCTCTCACTGTTCAAATAAACCTACCATTAAAATGATAGACTGATCATTTATTTGTCAGTGGGCAAACATACAAAATCAGCAGGGGATCAAATACTTTTTTCCCTCACTGTATAAAATCGAGCACACAGCCATGCAATCTCCATAGAAAAACATTGGCAGTAGAATGGCCTTGCTGAAGTGCTCAGTGACTTTCAACGTAGCACCGTCATAGGATGCCACCTTTCCAACAAGTCAGTTCGTCAAATTTCTGCCCTGATAGAGCTGCCCCGGTCAACTGTAAGTGCTGTTAAGTGGAAACATCTAGGAGCAACAACGGCTCAGCCACGAAGTGGTAGGCCACACAAGCTTATAGAACGGGACCACCGAGTGCTGAAGCGCGTAGCGTGTAAGAATCGTCTGTCCTCGGTTGCAACACTCACTACCGAGTTCCAAACTGCCTCTGGAAGCAACGTCAACACAAGAACTGTTCGTCCGGAGCTTCATGAAATGGGTTTCCATGGCCGAGCAGACGCACACAAGCCTAAGATCACCATGCGCAATGCCAAGCGTTGGTTGGAGTGGTGTAAAGCTCACCGCCATTGGACTCTGGAGCAGTGGAAATGCATTCTCTGGAGTGATGAATCATGCTTCACCATCTAGCAGTCCGTCAGACGAATCTGGGTTTGGCGGATGCCAGGAGAACGCTACCTGCCCGAATGCATAGCGCCTACTGTAAAGTTTGGTGGAGGAGGAATAATGGTCTGGGTCTGTTTTTCATGGTTCGGGCTAGGCCACTTAGTTCCAATGAAGGGAAATCTTACCGCTACAGCATACAATGACATTCTAGACGATTCTGTGCTTCCAACTTTGTGGCAACAGTTTGTGGAAGGCCCTTTCCTGTTTCAGCATGACAATGCCCCTGTGCACAAAGCGATGTCCATACAGAAATGGTTTGTCTAGATCGAACACCTTTGGGATGAATTGGAACGGCGACTGCGAGCCATGCCTAATCGCCCAACATCAGTGCCTGACCTCACTAATGTTCTTGTGGCTGAATGGAAGCAAGTCCCTGCAGCAATGTTCCAGCATCTAGTGGAAAGCCTTCCCAGAAGAGTGGAGGCTGTTATAGCAGCAAAGGGGTGACCGACTCCATATTAATGCACATGATTTTGGAACGAGATGTTCGACGAGTAGGTGTCCACATACTTTTGGTCATGTAGTGTATATTATGGACTTAAATGTACAGTAGAGTCAATAACATCTGCTAATTGCGGCCAGATTCAGTGATTGTGACTGGTTGTGCTGTTTGCCCTATAGGATCCTGAGTACGTTCACATCCCAGCAGTGGAAGCATCTCAGTAATGAGTTCCTGAAGGCCCAGCAGGAGAAGAGACACAGCTGGTTCAAGGCCGGGGGAACCATCAAGAAGTTCCGTGCAGGACTCAGCATCTTCTCTCCCATCCCCAAGTATGGCTCCTATTACAGCATCTAGTACTATCACGGCTACTATTATAGTTTCATATTCATTATCCTGGTCAGATGTCATCATCACTGTCATCTCAGTAGTCAATGGGTACGTTTACATCCATTCAATATTACAATTATTGTGAATACTCTGAATAATATCATATTTCAATTAAAACATTTACATGGTTTGCAAGAACAACGATTTCACTTACAATCGTCTATACATGGACTGCGCATAATCAGGCTTCCTGATGGAAAAAATGTATTGCCATAATCAGCTTAATATCGAATTATTAGTGTGCATGTAAACATGCTCACTAATTGGTTGCTCTGAACTTTCGTGTTCGTATAATTTTCTTGTGTAGGTGTCTGAATGTCTGTCTGTATGTGTATGTATACAGTACTTCCAGGTCTATGCAGTAATGGTCTCTGGGTTGTGTGTGTGTCTGTGTGTGTGTTGTGTGTGTTCCCAGGTCCCCAAGCTTCCCTCTGATCCAGGACACGGTTCTGAAGGGGAAGCTGAGTGTTCCAGAGCTGAGGGTGACCCGGCTCATGAATCGCTCCATCTCCTGCACCATGAAGAACCCCAAGGGGGAGCTGTTCAGCTACCCCTCCAACAGCCAGGTCGGAGCCCACCGCCCCTCACCACCACCACCACACACCCCTCTCCTGACTGGCCCTCTTACCCCTACACACATCAGCACAGACAACACAATATTTATTTAGTTTTTATTTATTACGTTTATTTGGACAGGGTAATGTACAACAAAAACATAAATCTCAGAAGTGAGAAGGGATGCGTTGCACCAGAGTTTTGCTAACAACTAATTTAGATCTGCAGTCCCCGGGCAGGTGAACATATAAACATGAAGACATTATATACAAAAGGACAACATACATTTTCAAAAGAGCAGTCAGGACATACAGACACGTTTCAAAACAGAGGTCAAGACATTACACATACTGTAAAAGTCATTCCACCTATTGCTGTTGGACCTGATGATATTTGAGTTGTAAAACACATAAACACACGTCTAAATATTGCACAGAGCCCAGTTATTGCACCTAATGAAATTGCACGTGTGTGTATTTTGATGTGTATTCTATTGCATTAAAAAAAGTCTCTGTGGCCTTACAGCTAGCTTGAACAGTCAAACACAATACATCAGCAATATCAGAAAACGCATGAATTCAGTAACAAGCAACTATTTCCCCATTCTATTATCCATACTATCTCAAAAAAAATCTCATTTTGAACTACCTGAGAACTTTGACTGTTCCCCTCCCCAACCAACACACCTACAGTACTGTACCTACCTTCCTTCCTGAGCCTCTCCCTACCCATACCTGACATGGCTGGCACCGTGTCCCATAATGCTTTGTCTTCACTGTACCCATCAGACTGTGGCTGTCCCGGCGGCCAGGGCCCCAGCGCAGATTACCACGAGGCAGCTGATTGAATTGTTTTTCTCATCCCAGGCGGGCGGCCACTGCAAGAACATCCCTACCTTGGAATATGGGTTCTTAGTCCAGGTAGATACAACATCAAGGACAATGCTAGAGCCCTAATAGGCTTTAGTTCACTCTAAACATCCTTCCAAAACAACTCCAAAGCACAAACACTGATAGGACTATCAAGAGTCAATTACCCTTACAGGAGTTAGAGGACATAGTATGTGCTTAAAGAAGGTCTCCACCTCTGTGTAATTGATTCATTAATTGAGTCGGATTAAAACATTGATAAGAGACCCAGTCACCTGATGATGTCATTATAGGATAGTGATATATGGGGCTGTTGGAGAGGAGGGAGTGATTGGCAGGAAAACCATGTTTTGTCTCCTGACAGATAATGAAATACTCGGAGCAGAGGATCCCCACTCTCAATGAGTACTGTGTGGTCTGTGACGAGCAGCACGTCTTTCAGAACGGATCCATGTTGAAGGTAGACCACTAAAAAAACATACAGTTTGAAGTGAATTTACAAACCCCTGTTATTTCTGCTTTATATCATATTTGCTTGATTCCAAAGAGCACTCCTTATGTTGTTTAAACGTTTCAATTATGTTATGAGCAAGTTTCTTTGTTTCACTCAGATTGATGTTTGTTGGTGTGCGTGTGTGCGTGTGTGTGTGTGTGTGTGTGTGTGTGTGTGCGTGTGCGTGTGCGTGTGCGTGTGCGTGTGCGTGTGTGTGTGTGTGTGCGCAGCCGGCTGTGTGCACTAGAGAGCTGTGTGTGTTCTCCTTCTACACTCTGGGTGTGATGTCAGGAGCAGCAGAGGAGGTGGCCACTGGAGCAGAGGTGACTGCCTGAATAACAACGCACACACACACTATCTCTATCCCCCTGTCTTGTCTGTCTGTCCCTGTCTATCTGGTGATAAGTGATCAGGTTTCATGTTGATCCCTAGGTGGTGGATCTGCTGGTGGCGATGTGTCGGGCTGCTCTGGAGTCTCCTCGTAAAAGCATCATCTTTGAACCCTACCCGTCTGTGGTCGACCCCAACGATCCTAAGACTCTGGCCTTCAACCCAAAGGTTACTACTGTTGCTGTGGTTACACACCATGATACAGGATCTCATAATGTGTAATAACATTCTAACACATTTCTTTGGGCTCATTTCATGGGTTGTAGATATTAATCCAATGTTTTTCTCTCTCCCTGTCCTCCTGATGCCTGTCTCTGTGGCTTCCTCTTGCTCCCTGGTCACAGAAGAAGAACTATGAGAGATTGCAAAAAGCACTGGACAGTGTCATGTCCATCCGGGAGATGACCCAGGTACTGAGGCTGGGGGAGGCTGGGATGAAGGAAGGGCAGTTCTGTGCTGGACTTGGGCTGTAAAAAGAGACTATATACTGTATGTATTGTTGCATTGAATCGTCTCCTTGTCATATTTAGATTTGGAAGGGACGAAAGGATAGTGGGATGTGAAATAATGAAAGCTGTCTTTTACAGGGCTCATATCTGGAGATTAAGAAACAGATGGACAAACTGGACCCTCTGGCCCACCCTCTACTGCAGTGGTAGGTAGAAGGTCTCTGCTTACACACCCAGCAATCTAAACCTCCAACCCTGTTCTGCCTCTTTCACTAACCTGTTTTTCTTCACCCCACCCTATTCCTTCCTCCTCTCTCTCTCTCAATACAATTTCAATTTAAGGGCTTTATTGGCATGGGAAACATATGTTTACATTGCCAAAGCAAGTGAAATAGATAATAAACAAAAGTGAAATAAACTATAAGAAGATTAATAGTAAACATTACACTCACAAAAGTTCCAAAAGAATAAAGACATTTCAAATGTCTCTCTCTCTCTCTCTCTCTCTAGGATCATATCCAGTAACAGATCCCATATCGTCAAGCTGCCTCTGAGTAGGGTATGAATAACACAGATCTCTGATGTCTGCTCTTCCTCGTAACTGTTGCCGTGTGTTCTCCAGTATATGATGCTCTATTCTCTCTCTCCTTCCTTCCGTCTTCCTCTCTCTCCTATAGCAACTGAAGTTCATGCACACATCCCACCAGTTCCTGTTACTCAGCAGCCCGCCTGCCAAGGAGGCACGCTTTCGCACCGCCAAGAAGCTCTATGGCAGCACATTTGCCTTCCAGTGAGTCCCCTCTCTCCCCCCTAAGGGTGTCACTCCCCTGTAGTGGTGTCCTATACAGTAAACTGGCAGCACCAACCTCCCCTTAACCATAGACTCCCACATACAGAATAGGTACTACGCTTTATTAAGATTAAAATCACTTTATTCGTCAATTGTACACAAAGTCCAACCGAAATGTATCCCAACCCCTCCCAAAGACACACAGGTTGGAGCAGTTGTTGTGGGGGTTAAGTGCCTTGCTCAAGGGCACAATGGCAGGCAACGGCATCTAGGATTAGATACCGGCATCCTCCGGTTGCCAGCTCACTTCTAAAACAATTCTTTCCCTGTTAGACCCGGGATTCGAACTGGCAACCCTCCAGTTGTTGGGTCACCTCTCTAACTGCTAGGCTACCTGCCGCCCAGTCTTATAGACAGAGACCCACATAGCTGGTAGTTACAGCATCCACCAGCTGACAGCACAGTGAACAGACACCACACCCTGTTTTCCCAGCAGTACTGGATCCCTGATGTAGTGATATCAGTGTGAGCAACAGACAGAGTCAGACAGCCATGCCGCTGCAGTACGAAAGGCACTAAACAGAATTATGCATGGCACTATCTCAAAGCAATCAAAACTGGCTCAGTCCCTCAGGGAGCTTGCTGATTTAAATTCAACAACCACTCCTTAAACATTGTCTCTGCTAAGAATAACAGCATGGCTACCATGTTTCACCCCTGGGGTTTATTGGAATACAATAAGAGATGAGAGACGGTACAGTTTGATGTATTCCCACTGAGACTTCTATTCACGTAACATCCTGCTGCTGAAAAGAGAAGGAGTGATGATGTAATATCAGGAGATTTCTGAGCTGTGCTTGTGCTGTAGGTCCTCAGCCATTCTGCTGTTTTTAGCAAACAAACATGCCAAGTTTAGAAAATGTGAGAAAATAGAATTACTATCTCCTCGTACAATCAGCCAAAAACACAGTGTTAATAGACTTGTTGCATTGCCAATAAGATGTAGATATCTCACGGGCATGAATGCTTTGCTCAAGGTACAGTATAACAATCAGTCAATAAATAGTTGGCATGGAAATAATTGTGTTTTGAACGCTCTCTGCACAGCATTGTTGGAGCCTTTAGAAAGCACTGGCCACACATGAGAGGCCCTGTTTGAGGAAGAAGTGTTCAGTATTCACAGCTCTCCTTATCTCTCTCTCTCCCTGCACCTGCTCTAGTGGTTCCCATATAGAGAACTGGCACTCCGTTCTGAGAAATGGACTAGTCAATGCCTCTTATACCAAACTGCAGGTATGTAGCTCCAGCAGTTCGCTGAACTAAGACGCATCCTCCCTTGGACAGCGCCTGTCTGTCCTCCTCACACACAGTGCAGGTTGGCTGTCCAGCTGATCCATTTTGACAGTAACGGATGCCAGGTTTCTCTCTAATTGTATTGGACGCTTTAAAATGCCAGGCCCACCGGTAATTTCCCCTGGCATATGTCGAGCACTTCCTGTTTCCTGCTCTGACAGCAGCAGACGCCACGCCTCTTCCTGTCCTGATAGAGAGGCGGAGGGGCTGTGTTGTCTGCTGGGGGCTGGGGGTTACCAGTCGGCCTGGCTGGAGGCGTGGCTGCCTGGGTTGACCACTAAGAGCACTGAGTAGACTAGGTCAGAGGTTACAACTGCTGCCCCGCCCCATGTCTGTTTCGCTATTGAGGATCCACAGAGCGGGTGAGTGGGTGAGGGATCCAAGGAAGGTCAGTAACGGTCATCACATATACTGTCTCTCTTATTTTCCTCTATGCTGAACCTAATGATGTTTAATATGTATATGGCTGAACCTTCTGGTAGTTCAAGACACTGTACAAGACATTAAACCACATGCACAATCATCTATTTCTATGTCTATAGACTCTTAAGGTTCGTCCTGTATGCACCTTTGAAATGCGCCATCTCGCTACTTCCTGTAATTATATTTGCTGTATAAATGTGAGAAGTCAGCAGGGTGTTTGTTGTCAGTGAGTGGTTTATTATTAGTATATTACTGTATTAGAACCTTTGTTGTTAGATCTTTGAAGACTCATCTTTCATTTCCTTGTTCTGCATCCCACGCTCTCTCCCTCCTCTTCACCTTGAGCATTTGTTTGTTCATTCTCTCACTCCATTGTTCTTTTCATCACAGTGTGATGGCTAACTCTCCTTCAACTTGTACAGCAAATCTCATTGTGTCTCTGTCTCTCTCACGATGTCCTTCAGATAAATGTCATCTCTGTCTTCTAGCCCTCATTCTGTTTTCTAAACTCAGAAGCTATTCTTCTTTCTCCATCCAGTTCTTCCTGCACTCTCACAAAGTATTTCTGTGGGTGTTCATGTCACCTCTCCACTGGAGCTGAAACTCTCACTGCTCTGCCATGGGTGACCATCAAACATTCCCCATCTTCATCATCCATCTTCATCCTCTTCATCCTCATCCTTCCCTTGTTCTGTCGCCATCCGTTCTGATGTAGTTCCACATCATTATGGATGGTTTACATGAATGTTCAACACAAGACTTCAACATGGACGTATGTTGCCTCACCTCAACATCTTATGAGGTCTTTGTGGGTAGTAGAACAGGAGACTATGTGGTTTTACAATAGACGATGTATTGCACTTTAGGCAGGTTTCTTATTCTATTGCACTTTACCTCGTGGTTCAACATTGAGCCCACTGTGGGCTACCTTCTACCTTCTCTCTGCACTGCTACCTCTCTGAGTGTGTCTCGTGTGTGTGTGTGTGTGTGTGTGTGTGTGTGTGTGTGTGTGTATGAGCGTGTATGAGCTTTTGTGTCTGTATGAGAGTGTGTCTCTGAGTGTGTGTCTCTGAGTGTATGTTCCTCTGGCAGTGTGTGTCTCTGAGTGTATGTTCCTCTGGCAGTGTGTCTCTGAGTGTGTGTGTGTGTGTCTCTTGAGTGTGTGCGGTGCTGCTGGGCTCTCAGTGATTCTTCCCCCTGCTCTTTTCAACACAAGCTGCATGGTGCAGCCTATGGAAAGGGCATCTATCTCAGCCCCATCTCCAGCATTTCCTTTGGATACTCAGGTAGGAATGACCCTCTGTCCTCCAGGATATGGCCTGCCCTCTCTCTCTCTCTCTCTGTCTCTCTCTGTCTCTATCACTCCCTCTCTGTCTCTCTCTGTCTCTCTGTCTCTCTCTGTCTCTATCACTCCCTCTCTGTCTCTCTCTCTCTCTCTGTCTCTCTCTGTCTCTATCACTCCCTCTCTGTCTCTCTCTCTGTCTCTCTCTCTGTCTCTCTCTGTCTCACTCTCTCTCTGTCTCTCTCACTCTCATTCTCTCTGTCTCTCTCTGTCTCTCTCACTCTCTCTCACTCTCTCTCTCTGTATCTCTCTCTATCTCTCTCTGTCTCTCTCTGTCCTCTCTCTCTCTCTCTCTCCTCTCTCTCTCTCTTCTCTCTTTCGCTCTCTCTCTCTCTCTCTCTCTCTCTCTCCTCTCTCTCTCTCTCTCTCTTCTCTCTCTCTCTCTCTCTGGCTCTCTCTGTCTCTCTGTCTCTCTGTCTCTCTTGTTCTCTCTCTCTGTGTCCTCTCTCTCTGTCTCTCTCTGGCTCTCGCTCTCTTTCTGTCTCTCTCGGTCTCTGTCTCCTCTCATGTCTCTCTTTTCTGTTCTCTCTCTCTTTCTGGTCTCTCTCTGTCTCTCTCTCTCTTGTCTGTCTCTCTCGTGTCTCTGTCTCTTCTCTCTCTGTCTCTCTCTCTTTCTTGTCTCTCTGCTCTCTCTCTGCTCTCTCGCTCTCCTCTGTCTCTCTCTTTCTCTCTGTCTCTCTCTCTCTGTCTCTCTGTCTTCTCTCTGTCTCTCTTTTCTCTGTCTCTCTCTGTCTCGCTCTGTCTTCTCTCTCTTTCTGTCTTCCTCTCTCTCTGTCTCTCGTCTCTGTCTTCTCTCTTCTCTTCTCTCGCCTCTGTCTCTCTCTCTTTTCTCTCTCATCTTCTCTGTCTCTCCTCTCCTCTGTCTCTCTCGTCTCTGTCTCTCTCTCTCTCTGTCTCTCTCTCTGTCTCTCTCTCTGTCTCCTCTGTCTCTCTCTCTCTCTGTCTCTTCTGCTCTCTCTCTGTCTCTCTCGGTCTCTCTCTCTCTCTCTCTCTCTCTCTCTCTCTCTCTCTCTCTCTCTCTTCTGTCTCTCTCTGTCTCGCTCTGTTTCTCTCTCTTTCTGTCTCTCACTGTCTCTCTGTCTCTCTCTCTGTCTCTGTTTCTCTCTGTCTCTCTCTCTCCCTCTGTCTCACCCCTCGTGCTTCAGACTGTTGGCTGTGTCTGTTCTCTGTGTTCAGCTAACTTGTCACTGTCTCTGCTACAGTCCATCTTCATCTATGGGTTGGGTTCACCTACCTGTGCTGTCCCTGTGCTACATTACCCTGTGTGTCCACTGTGGGGCTTCTGGTCTGGTCTGTATGTGTCTGGCTCTGTGCATTGCATATCACACCGTGCTGTGATCATGTGGTCATCTGATGTCATCTAGTTTTGTGTGCATGTGTGTCCAAGTCTAACTGGGTAAGCAAGAAGCCATCTTTAAGTAAGGTTGAACAATACCCTGACCCTATGCCATCCTCACCTCCTCTGTTTTGTTCCATCAACAGAACTCAAAGTATGTTCAGCTGTTGACATGTTTAGCATATGGTTGTAACTCAGCTCCAGTACAGCTCTGACCAACGTTGTGTTTGTTTACATCCGTGTGTGTTCAGGGATGGGTAAAGGACAGCACCGCATGCCCACCAAAGATGAGCTGGTGCAGCGCTACAACCGTATGAATACCATTCCACAGGTACAGTGTCTGATGGTGAGAGACTCATAAATGTAGGACAACCATTTTCCCTTTTGATACGGGTTTGAGCATTACATCATGTTCTGTATTGACTGCTTTCACAGAGCCGTCCTATCCAGTCAAGGTTTCTCCAGAGCAGGAATCTAAACTGCATTGCCCTTTGTGAAGGTAAATACTGTACCACATGAAATGTAAAGACTAGCTTGGTGGGGGGGGGGGGGGGGGGGGGGATTTGTTAACGATGTCCTGAACCTCCATGTCTCTCTGTCTGCCTGTCTCAGTGATCACATCCAAGGACCTACAGAAGCACGGCAACATCTGGGTGTGTCCTGTGTCCGACCACGTCTGCACACGCTTCTTCTTCGTGTGAGTATCCTCATCCTAACACTTCTCTTATCGTTCCCCTAGAAATCAACATGACTCATTGATTCCATCTGTTGTCTGTAAAGTTGTTTTTATGTAAGACATTCCACAACCATGGAACAAAATAATGAACAATAAAAACAAGACAGCGAACTAACAGACACATTATTTAATCTAATGTGAACTGTCACCTCTGTGTTGCAGGTACGAGGACGGCCAGGTGGGAGATGCCAATATCAACACCCAGGAGCCCAAGGTGCAGAAGGAGATCATGCGTGTGATCGGCACCCAGATCTACGCCAGCTAATGCAGGCTCCCCGGGGGTCCTTGGAGGAACAGGTCTGTACTGCAGATAGACAGACAGACAGAACTATAGACATGAATACAGACAGACATTTGGGAAACAAACTCAGACCAGATGAGGGAGGCTGATGATCTTTACGCATCATATCTACGGTCTCTTTTCCTTTCCTTTCCTCTCTTTTTATTCCTCTGCTTTCTGTTCTCCCTGTGTCTGGCTAGCATGTGTAAGATCATGTGCTCCAGTGAGCCACACCCGTGGGCTAGATAGAGCTGGACAACACAGGGATGAAGTAAGAAACCTTAGCTGGACTGGCTTGCCACATATACACACTCTGAGCTGAAGTGCACAAACACACACACGCACGCACGCACACACACACACTTCCCTTTCAGCCCCTGGTCTCTCATTTCCTCCTGAGCCACTGTCAGGCCTCATCCATTTTCTTTTATCAGCTGCAATTTTGAGAATCCTTTGGACTATGTATCTATATTCATCAGTTCTCATTGTGAATATCTAGAAGAAGAACAAAGAATCATTCCAAATGTTTATTACGTCCCTCTGTGGGTATTGAATAATGGATCTACATGCATATATACGTTTGTTATTTTATTGTGTTTGCGAAGGCATTATCTCAGTGATCCGTTTATTTAATATTATTTGACTAATTACATCAATTAAAGGGCCAAGATGCAATTATCTCCCGGGCAAAGCACTGTTCTACCATGCCTCGTCATGTAGTGGATCAGTTTGTCTTCAGTTACCTCAGACAGAGGGACCTGAAGCCCTCTGGTTGAATAACATGATCATATGTTACATACGAGAATCCACCGCTAACTAATATGCTAACAGTCTGTCAGGAGATACTAGTCACAGACAGACACAGACACAGCCTGCTCCCTCTGTAGACTAAAGGCTTCTCTTGTCTTCTCCTGATGTTTCATTTAGGGAAATTAGACCAGACAGTCAGAATGATGACACAGAGAGTACTTGTGCCCTCTAGACTGCTGAATCTGAGAGAGCATGATGTAAAACCCATAGCAACACTCTTCTTAGAGAAATCACACTGAAAAGAGGAGCTGTTCTACCATGGCCATAGACTTATCTTTGTGACTTTCTCCATAAAGTACAGGACATCCCATTCTTAGAGAGACTAGGGCAGTAACCCCAGATGAATCCATGCCCTACAGCCCAATATCCCTCCCTACCCAGAGGAGATATAATACATGGAGATATTATATGGCAATGGCTCTATTCACAGGACACTGGATGTTGTTCAAGTGCTTTACTTACATCTTTATGGTTTACCTTTGGGAATGGCAACATTGTGTTTAATTTACCCTGTTTATCAATTAGTTGTATGTATGTGTGGGTTATTTGTATTTTCTGTAATCACTACTTCTTGTGCACTTATTCAACATTTGCCTAGCCCAGAATAGAATGGTGGTTCTCCTCGCTCTCTCGCGCTCTCTCGCTCTCGCGCCGCTCTCCGCCTCTCTCTCGCTCTCCGCGCTCGCGCGCGCGCGGGCGTCTCTCTCGCTCTGAGCGAGCGCGCGCGAAGCGAGATCTCGCGAGAGGAATCGAGAGCGAGAAGAGAGATCGATCTCTCTCTCTATATATATATAGAGTAGGTCTATCTGTCTCTGGATCTCTAGATATATCTATATCTCTCTCTCTCTCTCTCTTCTATGATAGTATATATATATATAATAATATATATATATATATATATATAGATATATATATATATATCTATTCTCTCTCTATACAGTGAGGAGTAGGTTTATTTGAACAAGAGAGACAGAATAACAACAACAAAAATCCAGAAAAATCCAGAAGAAAAATGCATGTCAAAAATGTTATATATTGATTTGCATTTTTAATGAGGGAAATAAAGTATTTGACCCCTCTGCAAAAAATGACTTAGTACTTGGTGGCAAAACCCTGTTGGCAATCACAGAGGTCAGACGTTTCTTGTAGTTGGCCACCAGGTTTGCACACATCTCAGGAGGGATTTTGGTTCCACTCACTCTTTGCAGATCTTCTCCAAGTCATTAAGGTTCGAGGCTGACGTTTGGCAACTTGAACATTAGCTCCCTCCAAGATTTTCTGGGATTAAGGTCTGGGACTGGATAGGCACTCCAGGCCGTAATGTTTCCTACTTGGCCATCCTTGTTGCCGTGCCGCGTGTTTTGGGTCATCGGAATACCCATCCACGACCC